TTGATAGGCCAGCCCTTAGGTGGGTGGAGTAGACAGAACAGAATTGTGGGAGAAAGAAAGCAGAGGCAGGCAGTCACCATGACTCTCCTCTCCGAGACAGCTGCAGGTTAGAATCCTCCTGGTAAGCCACCACCTCGTGGTGCTACACAGATTACTAGAAATGGGTTAGATCAATATGTAAGAGTTAGCCAATAAGAGGCTACAGATAATAGGCCAGGCGGTGTTTAAATGAATACAGTTTCCGTGTAATTATTTCGGCATAAGCTAGCTGGGATCCAGGTGTGAACGCAGCCCGCCTTTCCGCCGCCGTTCATTCTACAAACATCCATAGATAGAAATTGTAGTAACCACCTGTGTACTATTGGATCACCATGGACTAAAGTTAGAATTCAACAACAATTCTACCCCCAGAAAGCCTACAAACTCATGGAAACTGAACAGTCAACTACTGAACCACCCCTGGGTCAAGGAAGAAATAAAGAAAGAAATTAAAGTCTTCCTTGGATTCAATGAAAATAAAGACACAACATACCCAAACCTATGGGACACTATGAAAGCAGTGCTAGCTAAGAGGAAATTTCATAGCACTAAGTGCACACATAAAGAAAACGGAGAAATCACATATTAGAGACTTAACAGCACACCTGAAAGATTTATAAATAAAACAAAAGAAGCAGACTCACCCAGGAGGAGTAGAAGATTGGAAATAATCAAACTTAGGACAGAAATCAATAAAATAGAAACACAGAAAATAATCCAAAGAATCAATGAAACAAAATCAACAAGATTGACAAACCCCTATCCAAACTAATCAAACAGCAAAGAGAGAACACGCAAATTAACAAGATCAGAAATGAAAAGGGGGACATAACCACAGACACAGAGGAAATTCGGAGAATCATTAGATCTTACTACAAAAGCCTGTATGCCACAAAATTGGAAAATGTGAAAGAAATGGACATTTTTTTTAAGATAAGTACCATATGCCAAAATTAAATCAGGACCAGGTGAACAATTTAAATAGACCTGTAAGTCGTGAGGAATTAGAAGCTATCATCAAAAACCTCCCTACCAAAAAAAGCCCAGGACCAGATGGTTTCAATGCAGAATTCTACCAGAACGTCCGAGAAGAGCTAATACTTATACTCCTTAATGTATTTCACCATATAGAAACAGAAGAGTCATTGCCAAATTCTTTTTATGAAGCTACAGTTACCCTGATACCAAAACCACACAAAGACTCAACCAAGAAAGAGAATTACAGACCAATCTCACTCATGAACATCAACGCAAAAATTCTCAATAAATACTGGCAAATCAAATCCAAGAAAACATCCAAAAAATTATCCATTATGATCAAGTAGGCTTCATCCCAGAGAGGCAGGGCTGGTTCAACATACGAAAATCTATCAATGTAATCCATCATATAAACTGAAAGAAAAAGCCATATGATCATTTCATTAGATGCTAAAAAAAGCATTTGACAAAATTCAACACCCGTTTATGATAAAGGTCTTGGAGAGATTAGGGATACAAGGTTCATACCTAAATATAATAAAAGCAATATACAGCAAGCCAACAGCAAACATCAAATTAAATGGAGAGAAACTCAAAGTCATTCCACTAAAATTAGAAACAAGACAAGGCTGTCCACTCTCTCCATACCTCTTCAATATAGTGCTTGAAGTTCTAGCAACAGCAATAAGACAACATAAGGAGATCAAGAGGATTCGAATTGTAAAGGAAGAAGTCAAACTTTCATTATTTGTAGATGATATGATAGTGTACATAAACGACCCCAAAAACTCTATCAAAGAACTCTTACAGCTGATAAACACCTTTAGGAAGGTAGTAGGATACAAGATCAACTCCAAAAAATCAGTTGCCCTCCTATACACAAAGAACAAAGAAGCAGAGAGGGAAATCAGAGAAACATCACCTTTCATGATAGCCACAAATAGCATAAAGTATCTTGGGGTAACTCTAACCAAGGAAGTGAAAGACCTATTTGACAAGAATTTTAAGTCTCTGAAGAAAGAAACTGAAGAGGATACCAGAAAATGGAAGGATCTCCCATGCTCTTGGATTGGAAGGATCAACATAGTAAAAATGGCAATTCTACCAAAAGCAATCTATAGATTCAATGCAATCCCCATCAAAATCCCAACAAAATTCTTCACAGACCTTGAGAGAACAATAATCAACTTTATATGAAAAAACAAAAAACTCAGGATAGCCAAAACAATCCTAGTCAATAAAAGTACCTCCGGAGGCATTACCATTCCTGACTTCAAACTCTATTACAGAGCTACAGTAATGAAAACAGCTTGGTATTGGCACAAAAACAGAGATGTTGACCAGTGGAATCGAATCAAAAACCCGGATATTAATCCACAAACCTATGAACACCTGATTTTCAACAAAGAAGCTAAAACTATACAATGGAAGAAAGAATCTTTAACAAATGGTGATGGCATAACTGGATGTCAACCTGTAGAAGAATAAAAATAGATCCATATCTATCACCATGCACAAAACTCAAGTCCAAATGGATTAAAGACCTCAATATAAATCTGACCACACTGAACCTGATAGAAGAGAAAGTGGGAAGTAGTCTGCAACACAGCGGCACAGGAGGCCACTTCCTACGTATAACCCCAGTAGCATAGACAATAAGAGCAACAATGAATAAATGGGACCTCCTGAAACTGAGAAGCTTCTGGAATACAAAGGACACTGTCATTAAGATAAAAAGGCAACCTACTGAATGGGAGAAGATTTTCACCAACCCCACATCAGACAAAGGTCTGATCTCTAAAATATATAAAGAACTCAAGAAACTAGACATTAAAACTGTAATTAACCCAATTTAAAAATGGGATACCGAACTGAACAGAGAATTCTCAACAGAAGAAGTTCAAATGGCTAAGACATGTAAGGTCATGTTTAGCGATCAGGGAAATGCAAATCAAAACAACTTTGAGATACCGTCTTACACCTGTCAGAATGGCTAAAATCAAAAACACCAATGATAGCCTATGCTGGAGAGGATGTGGAGTAAGGGGAACACTCATCCATTGTTGGTGGGAATGCAAACTTATGCAATCACTTTGGAAATCAGTGTGGCAGTTTCTCAGGAAACTGGGAGTCAACCTACCTCAGGATCCAGCAATTCCACTCTTGGGAATATATACCCAAGAGATGCCCAATCAGACTACAAAAGCATTTGTTCAGCTATGTTCATAGCAGCACTATTTGTAATAGCCAGAACCTGGAAACAACCTAGATACCCCTCAATAGAAGAATGGATAAAGAAGGTGTGGCACATATACACTTTAGAGTTCTACTCAGCGGTAAAAAAAAAAAATGACATCTTGAATTTTGCATGCAAATGGATGGAAATAGAAAACACTTTACTGAGTGAGATAACCCAGACCCAAAAAGATGAATATGGTATGTACTCACTCATAAGTGGATTCTAGCCATAAACAAAGGACATTGAGCCTATAATTTGTGATCCTAGATAAGCTAAATAAGAAGGTGAACCCAAAGAAAAACATATATTTATCCTCCTGGATATTGGAAGTAGACAAGATCACCCCCAGGCAAAAGTTGGGAGCACAGGGATGGGGGTGGGGTGAAGGGAAGGGGAGATGGGGAGAGAGAAGGGAGAAGGGGAGAATTGGGGAGAGTTTGGGGGAATGGGATGGTTGAGATGGAGGAAGGGTGGATATGGGAACAGGGAAGAAGATATCTTAAGTAAGGGAGCCATTTTAGGGTTTGCAAGAGACTTGGCTCTAGAGGGGTTCCCAGGTATCCAAGGGGATGTCTCCAGCTAGGTCCTTAGGTAGCAGAGGAGAGGGTGCCTGAACTGGCTTTCTCTCATAGCCACACTGATGAATATCTTGCATATCACCATAGAACCTTCATCTGGTGATGGATGGAGATAGAGACAGAGACCCACACTGGAGCACTGGACTGAGCTCTCAAGGTTCAGATGAAGAGCAGAAGGAGGGAGAACATGAGCAAGCAAGTGGAACATGAGAAGGACTGTGAGGGGTGTGTCCACCCATGGAGACAGTGGGACTGATCTAATGGGAGCTCACGAAGGCCCCTGGACTGGGACTGAACGAGCATATGATCAAACCCTACTCTCTGAATGTGTCTGACAATGAGGGCTGACTGAGAAGCCAATGATAATGACACTGGGTTTTGATTCTACTGCATGTACTGGTTTTTTGGGAGCCTAGGCTGTTTGGATGCACACCTTCCTAGACCTGGATGGAGGGGAAAGGGCCTTGGACTTCCCACAGGGCAGGGCACCCTGACTTCTCTTAGGACTGGAGAGGGAGGGAGAGGGGGTGAAGGGAGGAGAGGAGAAATGGGAGGATGGAGGAGGTGGAAATTTTTAATAAATTAATAAATAAATAAATCAAAAAAAACTCTACTCAGTTGGTAGTGCTTGGCCAGCACAAAGCCCTGGGTTCAAGCCCTCAGTACTGCATAATCTGAGCATGGTGGTGTATCTCTAACACTCAGGTGAAAGAATGACGTCATCCTAGAATAGCCTAGCATACATGAGACCCTGTCATTAAAATAATAATATTGGATGAAGTCACCAAATAAAATATGAAGATCCAAACCTTGCTCCTTTTGCAAGGCAAGACTATATCAGTCAAAAATCCTCATAGCTTCTGGTCTGGTCAGGAAGATTTTTTTTTCCCTTATTAGAAAAAAATTTCAACTGAGCAGTGATGGTGGAGTCTTCAATCCCAGTACTCAGGAAGCAGAGACAGGCAGATCTTTGTGAGTTCAAGGCCAGCCTGGTCCATAAGAGTGAGTTCAAAGATAGCCAAGGCTACAAAGAGAAACCATGTCTTGAAAAAAAAGAGAGAGAGAGAGAAAAGGAAAAAAATAACTCCAGGAACTATCAGGGCACCCAGATCTTTATCTGAAGCGGATGGGATCCCCACCTGCACCCATATCTAAACTGCACTTACCTGTGAAGAACTAGCTGTGGTACAGTGGAAATGCCAGTTGAAGGGGAGACCAGACAGCTCACTTCGCACCCGGAGAATCAGTGTCTCTGCTACTCGATCACAGGAGAAAGTAGCTTTGCTAGGATGAGCAGCATCCTGGTGAGCAGAATCTTTAAACAATGGGAGAAGCAGTTCTTCCAGATGATGGAGGAAAGCCGAGGGGGGAGCAGTTAGGCGCTTGTTCAGCTCCTACAGCGACAGAGTGAGGGCGGTAAAAGAAACTCCTCAAAGGCAAGAGCACAGGGGAATCCATGAAGACAATGGGCAGGAGAGGAAGGGGAAGCAAAGGGAAAGAACTGCAGCCAAAAGAAGACAAGAAAGAGAGTTTGCAAAGATCAACTAGCCTGCTCCATGGTTCCGTCCTGGGCAAGATCAATTTACTGAGTTTATTATAGTAAATACATCATATAATATAGATGAGAATATGCATTATTGTTCATGCAAAATGAACCTCTCGCGCCCCCCCCTCCCAAAATGCTTCAAATTTCTGAGTTTCTTGGATTTTGGAATATATGCATAAGTTACACAACTCTGACTCCAAAATCCAAAATCTGAAATCTAAAACTTTTTGAGTACTTGAGTACTGAGGATGTGAAAAGTTCATATTTTAGATTTTTGCATCTTTAGGACAGAGATGTTCAGTCTATAATTGCCTCAAACCTTCCTTGCCAATGTATAGACAGACAGGTTGACGGATGTTAATATCCTATGACCAGCACACCACACCACAGTGATACTTCTCTTCACACTTATATCTTACCTTGGCTCGCTGGCTGACCACCAAAGCATCCACCTGTTCATGCCACACCTGTTGAAGATCCGAAATCAGCAAGGCATAACCCTGCTTGGTGATAAACGCCTTGGCCAAGAGTGAGTTCTCACCGAGTTGTAGCCATGCCCACGGCTGCATCAACAGGCCTTGCTCTAGTTCTTCCATCTGCAGGAAAGTCCTAATTTAGCACAGGGCTCCAGGAAATTCAGCCCCCAAGAGGACCATTCACGATTCCATGTCAACTGGAATTGTGTGAAAACCCTCCCCAGTAGAACAGACATAAAAGCACAACTCCTGCTTTGCATAGCCAGCCTAACTACCCCTTCACAACTGACCTAAAATTAGTTTAGAATCTGGGGCTGGAGAGATGGCACAGAAGTTAAGAACAGCAAATGCTTTTCCAGAGGATTAGGGTTGAATTCCCAGCACCCACATGGCAGTTCACAACCATCTGTTACTCCAGTTCTAGGGGATCCAAGGCCCTCTTCTGGCCTCTTCAGACACTGCACATCTAGTATCTGTATAGATGCAGGAAAAAAACACTCATACACATAAAACAAAAATAAGTAAAATCTTTTTTAAGGATCAGAATATTGATGGGTAGTGGTGGCGCACACCTTTAATTCCAGCACTCAGGAGGCAGAGGCAGGCAGATCTCTGTGAATTCAAGGCCAGCCTGGTCTACAGAGTGAGTTCCAAGACAGGCTCCAAAGCTACAGAGAAACCCTGTCTCAAAAAACCAATTAAAAAAATCAGATTATTTCTTACATTAAGTTCCTAAAGAACAGAAAACATGTCTTTACCAGGTATGGTGGTGCATGCCTGTAATCCCAGAACTGAGAAGTGGAGCCTGGGAGTTCAGGATCCTCAGGCCAGTCGGGGACACATGAGTCAGACACACCTTGATATAAACGCAAAAAGGAAGGAAGAAAAAGAAGGAACAAAGAAGGAAAGGGGAGGAAGGAGCAGATCTCTTTCTTCCATAGTGTTAAATCAGCATATTGGTGCATTTAATATGGGAACCCAAGCCAATCCTATTGAATCTTTACTTGAATCCCATATGTGTCAATGCTATCTTTCCCAGAACTTTTAGAAGGAAAAGAATGATTCTTGCCTTGAAAAAAATTTGTCAGGGTGGTGGTGGCACGCGCCTTTAATTACAGCACCTGGGAGGCAGAGGCAGGTGGCTCTCTAAGTGTGATGCCAGCATGGTCTATAGTGGGTTCCAGGCAGTCAGGGCTACACAGAGGATCCCTGTCTTCTCAAAAAGCTAAATAAATAAAACTTAAGTCCTAAATGTGAGGGTCAGGACATTTCAATTATTTGGTTGCTAAAAGCAAAGTATGGGTCGGTAGGAAAAGGCGCTTGTGCCAAGCCTGATGACCTGGGCTGAATTCCTAGGATTCCCAGGGTGGGGAAGAGAATTGTCTCCCAGGTAAGCTGTCCTCTGACCATCACATGTGCATCAATATTTTCTTGTTTTGTTTTTCAGGAAAAGGCTGTCCTGGAATTCACCCTGTAAACCAGACTGGCCTTAACTCAGAGATCTGCCTGCTTCTACTTCCCGAATGCTGGGATTAAAGGTGTGTGCCACCACTACCCATGCTATAATTTTAATAAAAGAAAGAAAGAAAGAATACAAAACACATGAAATCTGGAAGCAAACAATAAAACCCTATAGCAGACTTGGTGATGTGCACCTATAATCCCAGTACTGGGGAGAAGGAGGTGAGAGGGAGGACCAAGGTTGGGTTGGGGAGATGACTCTACAGGTGCACCACTTGCCTACATAAAAGCCTGGTGGGGTGGGATGCACCTGGAGTCCCAGGAGAAGCCAATAAGGGGGCAGCTACTCCCAGGCCTACTTACCAAAGTTCTAGGCTGAGATTCTATCTCACACAAACAGCAAGAGGTGCCTGAGGACCACCTCCGAGATTGTCTTCTAACTTCTACATGTACAGTGTGCTTACACACATACACATACACGCACACATGTATATACATTCTTACCCCAGATAAGAGAATATGAAATGAATAAATGAAATTTAAAAATAAATAAAATTTTAAAATTTTCAAACAAACAAAAGTTCAACCTCCATAGTGAGTTCAAGGCCAGCCTGGACTACATGAAATCTTGCCCCCCCCCAAAAAATCCCTAAAACAGGGGTTCATTTTAAGCTTTTAATTTAATTATCCTCTCACAATTTCATACACATATAATGTACTTTGATCATACTTTCCCTTATGTATAATAGAAACTCTTACTCAGAGTCAGTTCAAGCTAATCCTCTACAATTATGGAAAATTCATGTGGACGTGCATTATGGAAGATGCCCACAACTGCCATCACATTAGGAATGTGCCGACAGTAATGACAGCGTCATGACAGACACACAGTGACACACCCAGGATTCAAAGCAGCAAGAGAAATGTTCCAGTCCCTTTCAGCAAAAGAGCAGGCAGCAGCAGCAGTCCCATGTCACTAACTGGGTACCACCCCACATCACCAGCATGCCTTCTGCAGAGCTCGGAACTCCTAGAGACCAACATTTCTATCTCAGTAAAGGATGCTGTGGTCTGGCGAGATGTTCCAGTGGTTAAGAGCACTGGCTGATCTTCCAGAGGTCCAGGGTTCAATTCCCAGCACCCACATGGCAGCTCACAACTGTCTAATCCAGCTCCCAGGGATCTGACATCCTCACACAGACATACATGCAGGAAAAATACCAATACTCATAAAAATAAAGTCATTGACAAAATGTTGTATCCTCAACCTAGTTAAATTTGTAATAACTAAGTCTGTCTGACAGAATTGACTTTTTCCTGTGGAGATAAGGTCATATAACTTCCTTTGTTATTTTCATCTATAAATATAAAATGAAGGGAAGTGCCAGGAAGTAAAAACTTAAACTACAAAAAAAAATGAAATTCCTGTTTAAATCTGATTGTCATTTCCAACTCAGTCTAAGCCATCATCTTCCTGGGTTTCAAAGCACTGTCTTATGGCAATCCTTAATTTGGACTGTAATTAACTAGTGGTGTATAAATGTATATAATAAGAAAGACTTCATACAGACCTAGTGACATTACTGCCATCTTGGTTCAAGTATGTGCACTGTGTGGTATCTGCACAGTGATGAGACAACCTAATAACAATTCTCAAAAGCATATGACCATTTCGAGTGACACATGACTGCCTAGATGGTGGTTATTTGCAGCAGCCTTGAAACCGTCTGGGCAGAGATGGGCATTTCCATCACGTGCTGTTCCAACAGGGAAGGCTGGTCGTGAAATGATTAAAGAGTCTTCGCTGGGCAAGAGTTGACTTTGGAAAAGATTAGAAAGACAAATGAAGTTGCCAAACCCTCTAATTTCCCTTATAGGCACATCCTGGCATGCACTCTAAAAGTCACCAAAATTGAGTTTATTGGCCTAACTGGTCCTTCCTTAAGTCTTGAAGGTCAAAACCCACAAGTTGATGTTTTGTCTGAATGGAAAGGAAGTTGTTTAATGTGGTCAGGGACAGCTGGCCCTATAAAAATGTGTAAAGCATTCAGCACCAGACCCAGGCTGGCTGTTCCTACCACTCAGCCTGGACTGAGGTAAGTGTAACTCGGTGAGTCAGGCATGATGAGGCATGCCTGTGTGATCCTAGCACACAGGAGGCTGAGACAGGAGGATGTTGATTTGGAGACCAACACACCAAGAGCCTCTCAATGGTAGAACGAATTGGGGCCTGAGATCGTCATTAGCTTGGAGGGAGAAGGAATCTAAGTCCTCTGGGTTTTACTTTCCCCAGTACAAGTTGGGCTTCAAAGACCACGTTAACCAACGTCACCGGGTTATGTCTTTAAAGAGTAAGAAAGTGATGTTGCCAGTTCTGTCACTCGGCCTAGGAGTCTTCTCGTGATAGTTCCTACAACACCCTGCAGAGGGCAGCAAGGCCCAACAGACCAGCTGGCGGGGACACGCCCTGTGTCACCAAAGAGGGCAAACCTTAGGCCCTGCAGCCAGAGGCCTCCCCCGGAGCGCCCTACGGCGTCCATCCACCACTCCCGCAGGGCCCTCGTTCGCCCGTCTCTCGTCTTTAAAGCACCGGCTGCACGCAGATACCGCTCAGGACCCCAAAAGGGGTATGGCCGAAATACAGTCCAGCTAAGGAGGAGCCTCATTCGCCACCCGCGCAGAGGCCGAAGGCGGACTGCGCACGCGCAGGACCGCCCACTTCTGGAAGCCTGCCCCAAAGCCCGGGCTGCGCGCGGTCCCTTCTGGGAAAAAGCACCCGGGTAGGGGGTCACCGTGAAAGTTCCTCTCCGCTTTTCGGCGTCCGGCCGGACCCAGATCTTGGCGCCAACTCGAAACCGACCCCACCTACCGTCAACGGCTGCGGGAGCTCCCACCCTCCTCACGGCGGACCTGCTCTCCTGCGCAAACTGAAAGGCCTAGGGTAAAGGCCACCCCCCCACCACACACACACTCGAGAAGGCGGAGTCTTGGGATAAGGGGCGGAGCCAAGACCTGTGGCAGGCGGGGACCCGAAACCTCACTTGTCAAGACTACTCGCAGCTCTGCTGCTTTCCTAATTCCTTTCCAGTCGTAACGAAGTATTACTTCCTCCTTGCCCCTTCTTCATTATTTACATCTTTATTATAGACTATCTCCTGCTGCACATTTTAGTTACTAATTTAAATCTTAAATGCAGGGACCTTGTCATATTCATAACTGCAGATGCAGGACCTTGGTCGTGGGAAGCACTCAATATAATTGAATGCTAGTACATTCCAGCGGCACTGGCAGTTCACAGGCAAAAAAAAAAAATCTCATTTATTCGCTTAATGACCCATTAAACCCATGGCCTCTGCTTCTGAACACGTTAGTCTGACTAAGAGAAGGGAAGGCATCCCATTCTATTGGGAAACATCGCATCTAGATGGGCCACAAACACCTTCTCACTGGGAGAAAGTATTGCCTCACAGGTGAGACTCCAGCAAACTGGGAGTTACTGCTAAACTAACGAAGACTAAAATGGTGCTCGTAGTAATTACTGGGACCTAATCCCTTCTCTGCTAGTTGCAGGGCATGACTCCTCAGAGTTAGGCAACAAGTCGGCCATCTCTCCTGTTTTAGAGGGCCCTCCTTCCTCATCCTCAGAGTCTTCAGGCATTGGACAGAGGCAATGGAGAGGCTGTGGGATGTAGGAACGCAGGTTTGTGATGGGTAAAGGAAGCCCATACTCTTGAGCAGCCTTCTCCCTGGACTTCTGAGTTTCTTGGGCAGTGAAAGAAGTGGACAGACGTTGACCTAGGCCTCGCTCAATCCGTGTACCTGCAAAAGAGGGTTTGGTCAGGCTCAGCTGTTAAGAGCTGGTTACTGTTCTTACAGAGGACCCAAGTTCCGAGTCCCAGCTCTGATATCAGACGGCTTACAACTGCCTGTATCTCTTTATCTGGGAGGATTTGCATTCGTTTACATATACCCACAGATGCACAGATATACACATAATTTAAAATGAAAATAAATCTTTAAAAAATAAGTAAGCCAGGCATGGTGGCACACAATTTTAATCCTAGCACTTGGGAGGCAGAGATAGGTGGATCTCTGTGAATTTGAGGCTAGCCTGGTCTACAGAGTGAGTACCAGGACAGCCAGGGCTGTTATTCAGAGAACCCTTGTCTCGAAAAATATAAGATAAGTAAAAGGAGGGGCTGGGCTGGTCATTACCCAACCCAGGGAGTAATGACTTCCCAGTCACTCCCTTAGGACCTGGTCTCAACTTACCAGAAATGGTGTTTTCTAGAAGAAAGCCCAAAAGACCCGCTAGAAAAATGGGTTCTGCCAGCAAAGAACGCAGGAACATATCCAGGGGGCTCCAGCCTACAAAGGATTGGGCCAGGCAGGAAGGTAACTGATACTGTCCAAGGCAATATGTCTTCCCTTTCAGACCTAAGTTAAGTCTTGGACCAGGGACAGGTTTCACTAAGCCATCATTCCATCCCACTACAGGGTGTTCCTCTACAAACTCCCTTTCCCTCACTCAGGCCCTTCCCATAGGATCCCTCTTAATACCATGTTTTCTTTTTCTCGTTGTTGTTTGTTTTTGTTGTTGTTCTTGTTGTCTCGAGACAGGGTTTCACTATAGTTGTGGAGTCTGTCCTGGAACTAGCTCTTGTAGACCAGGCTGACCTCAAACTCACAGAGATCTGCCTGCCTCTGCCTCCCCACCGCCCGGCAACACCATATTTTCTAAGCACCCACATACCCTCCGGATTCCTATTGTTCAAGGCTCCCTTTCTCTGGACAGTTTGGGATTAAAAAGCCCTGTTTCTTCCACTTGACCTTTGGTGCTCTAACCTGAGTCTCAACACTTCAGTCCTACAACACTTTGGGCCGGGTAATTTTGCTATGAGGACCTTCCAGTGCATTAAAGGATGTCTATCAACCTCTCTAAGCACCAAATGCCTGTAACAATCCCTTTTCTCACCGGATGTGGTCGCACATGCCTTTAATTCCAGCACTCAGGAGGCAGAGGCAAGAAGACTCTGAGTTCGAGGCCAGTCTGGTCTACAAATCAAGTTCCAAGACATCCTGGGTGGTTACACAGAAAAACCCTGCCTCAAAACAAGCAAACAAACAAAAACAATCCTCTTTCTCCCATTTTGTGACATCCAAAAAAAAAAGTCTCCAGACATTGATAAATCTTCCACATGGAACAAAACTTGAAAACCACTTCTCTGGATTAAACCATGCCGTTTGCGGCTCTCAGGATATGCTACTTCTGTCCCATAATTCTATCCTTTATCTTTGTGTATTGTGGAAATGTGACCAAGAATGACCTTATCAGCTATCCCTGTGGCTTACATCATAATCTTGTCACTTGGGAGTCTGAAGCAGGAGGATTGCCAAGAGTTTGAAGTCAGACAAGTTTCCAAAAGGAGACCCTGTCTCTCACACAGAGAAATGGCCTTTGCCAAATAGGTTTAAGTTTTTCCATCCTCAAAGACCGATTCAGTCCTACTGAATCACCTCAGACAGAAGCTACTCTTGACAATGAGTGCCATGGGTCCTTAGCTTTTGTTTTTTTCTGGGCCACTCTGTGGACCCCTGACCAGCCTGGAACTCACTGTGTAGACTACTGGCCTCAAACGTGCAGAGGTCCCACCGGCTGGGGTTTAAGGCATGGTCTGTCATGCCCTATTCACAGTTCTTGTCTTAACCTTCCTTGTCCTGCTCCTGAACAAATCCCCTCCTTCATACCACTGTACCACCCAAAAGCACTTTTGTGTCTTGACCTAATTAGCTTTCTTTAAAAAATTTGTTTGAGGGGAGGAGTTTTGTAACTGGCCAGGCTGAACTGTCAACTTGTCACGGCCTAGAGTCACCTGAGAGGAGAGTCCCAACTGAGGAATTGCCTAGATTAGATTGGTTTGTGAGGAAGTCTGTGGGGGAATTGTCTTTATTGGTGATTAGTTTAGTAGTAGGGCCTGGCCCACCATAGGCACTACCATCCCTAGACAGGTGGTCTTGAACTGTATAAGAAGTTAGCTGAGCATAAGACAGCATCCTCCATGGTACTTCTTTGGCTGTGAAGTGAGTTCCTTCTTTGGAGGGAACGCTGTGTAGATTAGCAAGCAGACCTGCCTTAAAGATTTTGCCTTGAGTTCCTGCCATGGCTTCCCTCAAGAGGATGAAATGTGGTCTGGAATAAACCTTTTCCTCCCCTGAGTTGCCTTCGATCTGACTGTTTTACCACAGCAACAGAAATAAGCCAAGACTCAAGAGCACAAAAGCAGGAGCATTGTGCTCAACGAACGTTTGTTAAATAAATGAATGAAGTGCATACAAAATCTCATTGTGAGAACAAGAATTCAGAGAGCCTAAAGCAGTGGTTCCAACCTCCCTAATGCTGTGACCCTCATGTTGTGCTGGCTCCCAAACACAAATCTTATTTCTTTGTTTGTTTTTGTTTTTTTGAGACAGAGTTTCTCTGTAGCTTTAGAGCCTGTCCTGGAACTTGCTCTGTAGACCAGACTGGCTTCAAACTCACAGTGATCTGCTTGCCTCTGCTTCCAGAGTGCTGGGATTGGAGGCATGAACCACTATCACATGGCCCATAAATTACTTTCATTGCTACTTCATAACTGTAATTTTGCCACTGTTGTGAGTCATAACGTAAACATCTATGGGTTTTTTTTATCTTTCTTTTTCTTTTTCTTTTTTTTTTTTTTTTTTTTTTTTTTTTT